GCAGACCTGCCTCTCCTCGCCCTCAGCACTGCCAGCCTGGAACACCCCTCTGCAAGCTTCTCAGCCTGGGGCTCCCCGGGCAGAAAGGCCCGCAGTGCCTGACTGACATGGCTTACATACTGCTCAGGCCTCGCGCACCGGGCCCTCAGCAGCAGCTGCCTACAGAGGTACAGGGTAGCCAGGGCCAAGGTGGCCTCACGGCCCAGCTGCCCACCACTGCTAAGACCAGAGGGGCCAGGCCTCAAGTCCTGCCCGCAGCATCGACCTGGGGGCTCCAGGCGCCTCTCCATGGGATCACGCTCCCAGGGAGCCCTTCCCAGAGCCCTGCATCCCAGGCAGGCCAGGCAGTTCACAGCTCCCTCCCGGCTCAGCCTCTTCCCACCCGGGGGAGCAGAGCACAGCTGGGCCTCCCGCCGCCTGGCCTGCAATCGCCTCCCGCTGATGGACAGGGGATGGGTAAACTGGGCTGCACTCAGACTTTCTCCTAGTTAGTCCGCGCAGTAAGCGGGTCCAGAGCATCTCCTGCTCCTGGACCACAGGTGCACAGCTGCAGCAGCAGACAGTCGGCGAGGCGTCGCCGATGAGATTACAGGCGCAGCCCCAGGTGCTCGCTCGCCCGGGCGTGCTCGCTGTACCTGGATCATCCTTTGTCCAACATCAAGACACGGTGCTCATGCCTTCCCTCCAAAACGGGCCGCTCAGCCAAGTGAAGGGCACTGCTCCAGACCCTCCCAGGGGACAGCAGGGCGATGAGGCCCCAGCACCCTCCCTGCTCGGGCTGCCCGGGATGGTCTTGTTAGGAGGCTACCAGGCTCTGTGAGCACCGGAGAGGAAAATTAATTCCCGCATGGATCGGCTCCCTGGAGCACAGGCCCTGATCTCCTCTGACTAACCAGCTGTGCCCATGCCTTGGGGAGAGGCGGAGTTCAGGGGCCCGGCCTGCAGGGGCCAGTCGCTGAAAAGGGGTCTCATCTGACAGGCCCTCACCTGTGCGGAAGAGGGGCCTGCTGCTCCCGTCACTCGGCCGGCTGCAGGTCCTGGAGAGCTTGTTTGCAGACACCTTGTACAGGACCCCTCCGATGCAGCGGTAGCTTTTACTGCGCCACCGAGGGGAGCCAGGCTGGCCTTTCCCACCCCCGGTGGCAGCAGTAGAGGGACGCGGGGGGTTCAGCCACAC